ACATTTCAGCTGAGGTAGTGTCCTCTGCACTTGTCCTGGGTGGACTCAGGCCTGAGATTGCATTTTGCTCCTTGTCTTTGTCATTTCCTATAGAGCTTTGGTGCAGTTATAACCTTAGCATCTACTGACATTCGGGTCCAGATCTATTAAGTTTGAGTTTATCCAGTTATACCTGGCTTGGTCTAGCTGTTGTGCTCAGCTCCCTCCTGCTGCAGCCTTTGGAAGTGATCCTGTTCTGCCCCTCTGCCACAACAGTGAATATGTTGTGCCCCTCTGTTGTGCCCCTCCCCCCGGGGGTGCAGGGGAGTGCAGATGCTCTCCCACACTTCAGCAGGACCTGGGCTTGGGCTGGGTCTGGGTGGTTCCAAGAGCACAGCAGAAGTTCTCACTCAAATTATGGGAAAAAATTAATATTTAAAGAAAAGAAGTTCTCACTTACTTGTTGGGCTTCACAGATGGGCTCTGGAGGTGTGGAGGTCCCAAGGGCTAGGCAGAGGGTCTCAGTCATGCGACTTGACTTGCTTTGGTCCAGATGTCCCACGGGTGCCCCAAGGCCAGAAGCTCTACCACACAGTCTCTGGGCCTGGATTGTGCTGGATCTCTCTTTGGTCCTATATAATACCTATAAATTAATATAACAAGAACGCAATTATTAAACATTTGGGTCATCATTGTATGATTTAAGTTAAATGTAAACTATTCATTATGCAATAAATAATTTTATAGTACTATATGACAAAATTACAGCTTCTCATATGAAATTGAGCCAAAACTATTTTGAACTATATTTTAATAATTTAAGATGTATATGTATATGCAATTACTAAAAGTATTTTGGGCATTCACTATAAAAATAATCACTAGAGAGAAAAGATTTTAACAATGATGACATATGTTCACATGCAGGCACACAGACATACATGCACACACATATACAACTTCTTCACATTTTCTCTCAGTTTTTATGTACTTGTGCCAATTAGTAACATTGTACTGTATATGGTACAGTATTGTACATTTAGGATCAATTACATGTTGAGTTTGAACTTAATATTCTATGTCCAAGATTTACTTATATTGCATATATAATTATAGTTTAAGCATTTTATTTGCAATGAAATATGATAGTTCAAGTGAGCATACTATGGTTTATTTATTTTTCATTTTTATACTTTTATACTTTTATGATTTCGTTCTTTCTTTGGCTCAGTTAAATTTGGGATGTAGTTATTTGGAAATAGCATTCAAAGACTACTTTTTCTCTGTATAGTGGGAGTATTTTGTTCGTTTTTTTGCTTTGTTGTTTTGTTTTGTTTGGTCTTTTTGAGAGGGTGACAGTGCAGGCTGGACTTATACTAATTTTGTCACCCAGACTGGTCTTGAACTCGCAACAATCCTCCTGCCTCAACTTCCCTAATGCACCACCACACCCAGCTAGTGGAAATATTCTAATCAAGTGAAAATTATTTATTCTTGCTGGGGATATAGCACAATGGCACAGTGTCTACCCAGTAAGCACAAGGTTCTGAGTTCAATTCCTGATACCAAAAATCAAAAACAAAAAAAAGGTATTTAATCTTAGAAGATATTGCACGGTTTTTTAATTAGCTTTGTAAATGTTTTAAATTTATTGAAGTTAGAACATAGGTTTTTAACAATATTTAGAGGTGTTTTGTTTTTTGGGGGTTTTTTTTGTTTGTTTGTTTTTGTTTTGTTTTTGTTTTGTTTTGTTTTTTGGGGTTTTTTTTTGGCAGAGCCAGGGATTGAACTCAGGCCCTTGCACTTGCCAGGGAAGTGCTTATTCCACTGAGCCATCTCCCCGGCCCAATATTTAGAGGTTTTGTACCTATTTTTTGTGGTTTGTTGATTGAGTTGAGTATTTCTCCAGAAAATTACTGGGTCTCAATGTATAATTTCTCTTCCATAAAAATATGTTAATCATTGAAACCAGGCTCTCACATATACTAAGATAGCACTCTACCTCTGAACTATATTCCAAGGTTATTTTTGTTTTTGTGTTTTAGACAGCCTGACTAAATTACCCAGGCAGGCCTCAATTTGCAATCCTCTTACCTCAACCCCCAGAGTAGTATGGGATTACAGGGATGCAACTATATGCCCAGCTTTAATTATTTAAATTTAGAAACATTTTTTACTTTTTCCACTCTCTCATTTCTCATATTGTGTTTTTACCACAAATATGCCTTTCATGTTTTGTCAGGAAGATAAGAGATTTGAATTTTATTGTTTTTCCAAATAATACATGCTTTAAAATTTACCGAGACTTTTTTTCTTGAGGAGAGGTGTTCTTTTTCCCATGGTTTCTTTTTACACATAGTGCTGCTGTGTAATCTACACTGGCCTCAAACTCTATTTTCTAATATTTTTATTGAGAAACAAATAACAATAAAACAGTTTCACAACCAATTACTGGCACATTTTCAATAATTAATACATTGCATATTGTTGTCTTAGTGGTTATTCATTGTACAAGATGCAGATCTGATATCCTGTCTCAAATACTATTAGAACAAACCTCTCTATTCATTGAATTAAGAGAATGGAGCTGTATATCTATCCTAACTATTTTGAGTATACAGATACAAAATGGTCATTCATTTGTATCCCCCTTTTTTGGTTAGTTTTGTCAGAGAAGAGCATTCCATTTTCATTTAAATATTGTAGGTGCATGAATTCAGCGGCCTCAAGCTCTAGGTGATCCTTCTGTCTCAGCCTCCCCAGTGCTGCCATTATAGGTATGCACCACCATGCCCAGCTGAAACACCATAAAATTTTGATTTTAAACTATAAAGTTACTAATACACTATCTAAATCACAGTATTAAATCAAGTGATTCATCCATCTGCATCCCCAAGAATAATTCTGAATTCTATAGGAACTGGAAGCAGACTTGCAGTATTTTAAGAAGATACACATCATTTAATTTGCAGCTTTACACTAGAATTTGGAAGATGAAATAAATTACCTGAATACTTATTCAGGTAATTTATTCTTTAATTTTGAAAACATGTAAGCAAAGTTATTGAAAAATAATATCTATGTTTTAGTAACAGTTTATTCCTAGTTGTTTTAAACAAATATGCTACAAACAGAATTTCCTACTGTACCCCTTTCAGGTATCCTTCACTGCATCCTAAAAGTGAACTTGAACTCAAGTCTATCTCATTTTGGAACTGAGCAGCAAGTTATCAATTGCTGCAATTTGACAGGAGAAAGGTATGCTTTCTTATGCAATTATGATGTTTAACAAAATGACATAATTTATTTCACAATTAATATGGAACATACTTCTATTATCCAGAGACCCACATTGATCTCAGCAGATTTCTGTGATCAGGGACCCCGTCACATCTGTAGCTATCTGTAACCTGATAAACACAAACCTGATGACACTGTGAATTTAGACTGGTCTCTGCTGATTATGAAGCAGTCATTAGTGACATCCTCTATGTGTGCACACCTCATTTGATTTTTATAACTCAGATCAAAACTGTTTTCTAGAGATGAAAAGCTAAAATGAAGAAAATAATTTTCCCAAGACCATAGTAATAAGTGATAAGCAAAAGTTCTGCAAAATCTCTGACTTTAATTCTGAAGTCCTAACTTATGTTCTGTTATTTTGGTTTGTGACGCTGGGTTTAACTTTGAAAAATACATCCTTAATCAATAAAAGGACTGCTCAAGCTTTAATCTTTCAGTGGTAAATCCATTGTATAATTCTGAACAGGCTCCTAGTCTTGCTACTCTCCTGCTTTATTATTCATTCTGTTTTTCTCTTTAGTTCTCTAGGTGCCTATGATTACAAATATAAATCATCACCAGAATACAGCTGTTCCCTTCAAATCAGTACACACTTCATACACCAATAGCTTCTTAGGGCTACACACTAGAATTCTGATAAGGAAATAAATTAGACGAGTACTGCTCTGAGTTTCACTCAAGTGTATGAGTGATTGTTGTGAGATTAAGCAGTGTAATTAAATATCACTTTTTGTTCTTTTGTCTGCTTTTAACTCCACAATATTACATGTGACCAACAGGTTTAGGCTCTAAGTACCTATAAATGGATAGAAATGGTGAGGACATGCAGCATATTCCATTTTTTCTTTTGATTTTTGTTACATTTAGCAAAATATTGAATTCAAATAGTTTATATTTTATCTTGTCTTATAAATGTGGCTGTGTATGCTTAATATTTTGTTTCAACTTCCTTACTTTCAGTTTGTACTTATTTTGTGATATTTACACCTTTTGGGGTATGTCTGTCTTCACAGGTGTTCATAAAGAAGTTACAAAAAATAAAAATTGAGCTCTTGGAGTTAACAGTTTAGTTTGAAATTGAATAGTTTACAGTCAACTGTGGTTCTTAATACATTACACTGGCATAATGATCTTTGAATGAAATTAATTTTAAAGTTGATAATTTTTTAATCCTGATGCAAGAGTGTTATTTAACTTATTTACACATTTGAATTACTTACAGGGACCACCAAATAGCTCAGTGGATCAAAGTGCCTCCAAACAGGCGCAGGGGCCGGGGGTTCAATCCCCTGGCCTGCCTGCTGGTCCCAACCCCAGGATGTGTTGAGACAGCGATTGAGACGAGGCTTGGTGGGGTGTGCTTGTAATCCCAATTCTTGGGAGGCTGTAAACAGGCAGATCACTACAAATCTGATCTAGTAGTGTGACTCTGAACACCCTAAAATAAAAAAAAATTACAAATAACTGAAATTTTGAACTGGAAGAGTGAGGACAATCAGCTGGTATAGGATCTTCAAAAGTGAATTCACATCCACAAAACTTTTAAACTTTAGTAGACTTTCTGGAATAGAGTCATATGTCATAGTTTTCACATATTAGGGGAATTATCTGTTCAATTGGCATGATGGGAATTCAAAGCTTTTCTTGGATATATGCCTATGCATTAGGTTTGATTTTATGCATTTTTGTTTCTAGAATTTCATTGAAATGACAAAAGAGAAATGAAGAACCATACAAGAAATATACAGTTTATCCTTCTGGGACTGACAGATAATTCTCAGCTACAAATTGCAATTTTCTTATTTCTACTTCTAAATTACATATTGAGTGTGGCAGGAAACTTAATCATCATTTCCCTCACCTTGCTAGATGTCCATCTCAAAACCCCAATGTATTTCTTCCTCCGTAATTTCTCCTTACTTGAAATTTCATTCACAACTGCTTGCATTCCCAGATTCCTCATTACCATTGTAACTAGGGAAAAGACAATTTCCTATAATGGTTGTATGTCTCAGCTGTTTTTTTACATATTCTTTGGAGGTACAGAATTTTTTCTTTTGGCTGCTATGTCTTATGACCGATATATTGCCATCTGCAAACCTTTGCATTATATCTCCATCATGAGCAACAAAGTTTGCCATCAGCTTCTCCTGAGTTCCTGGGTAACCGGATTCCTAGTTATTTTCCCTCCACTGATATTAGGTCTCAACTTGGATTTCTGTGCTTCAAATATTATCGATCATTTCATTTGTGATGTCTCTCCTGTCCTACAACTTTCTTGCACAGACACACGTTTGCTAGAATCCATCGCCTACTTCTTAGCTGTGATGACACTCCTTGTCACATTACTGTTAGTAATCCTTTCTTACTCTCACATCATTAAGACAATTCTAAAGTTTCCTTCTGCTCAGCAAAAGAAAAAGGCTTTTTCCACCTGCTCTTCCCACATGATTGTTGTCTCTATCACCTATGGAAGCTGCATATTTATCTACATAAAGCCATCAGCAAAAGAAAGAGTTACTTCAAGCAAAGCCATAGCTGTGCTCAACACTTCAGTTGCCCCTTTGTTGAACCCTTTCATTTATACTCTGAGGAATCAGCAGGTCAAACAAGCTTTCAAAGAAGTACTTAGAAAGATGTTTTCTTATTTAGAAAAGTAGCACCATTTATTGAAATAGTTATATGAAAGCGTAAAAAGAATTTTGAACAAAAGCTAACTTGCCTCATCTAGCTTAAGAATGGATAACTCATATTTAAATATGCACTTTAGCTTGCCCAATACTAGAAACTATTTCTGTTCTACTGATTTTGACTTAACTTTTTGCTTTTCAGTGTGAAAACCTTTCTTTGCTAGACATTTTAATTTTTAAATTGATTTTTTTCTAACAGCATGTTCTAATAAAATGAATGAGAAGTTTTGGTTTTATTATAGAATAGAAATTATTGAAAAGCTGGATCTCTTAGGCAATTTAAGGAAATATACATTTTTAATAGCTGTTATGGTTTGTTTCTAGTTGTCCCCTCAAAGCCTCATGCAGTCATGGGGAGGGGACTTCTAGAGTTTCTTATTAACTCATGATCCACTGGGATTATGGGGATTCTGCGTCTTAGTACTGCTGGGATTATGGATGTGAGTACTTCCGCAGCCTTGGGAAGATAGCCTGAATGCAATATAAGAGAGACAGAGAGACAGACTTCCTCTCTGTTGCTACTGCTGCTGCCACTCCTCCATTTTGCTCTCTGCTCCTTGCTGCTGCCATGAAAGTTTGCTCTCTGCCATGTGCCATTCTGCCTTGGACCCAGCTGAGTATAGATTGAAACTTCCAGTAACTGAACTAAATAAAACTTTTTTCCTTCATTTTGGGTGTCAGGTATTTGTCCCAGCAACAAGAGAAGAATAACTGAGACAATAGCCATGTCCTTAAAAGTCTTAGATGATTATAATTTTGTCATTGCTAAATGCATTTAAAATGTTCCAAGGGAGCTTACTCTTTAAAAGTAATGTGAAGAATTATTTAATAAAATCATATTTTGTAATGTTTATTATCAACATAGTAAGAAAACATAATCTG